CTTGCTATCACAGAGCTGCCAAACCCTGGAGCACACAGCACTTTATTGGTGATGACAGCAGAGTCAGCAATGCAAAACTTGCACAGGATCCTGCAGTGTGCTTTGGAAAGCAGCTGCAGTTGATCCCAGTGGGTTACTTTCCAGGGGGCTCTTAGCAAAACACAGTGGGATGCCCCAATCCCAAGCCGATGCCAAGCGTCCTGCACCTTGTCCAAACCTCTTTGGGTGAGGAATGAGAAGATGCTGGCACCCTCGAGTTGCTTCTCCTGGGATAAGAGGATTGGCTCTGATTTGTCCTTGGGACTGAAGAGGATTCACACTCAGTCTTTGCTGCTAAGTCACTCTCAGGATCTCACCTCATAAATCCAAGCAATTCTGAGGCAGAAGCAGCCTTACTGGGTTGCTGCTGGGTGGCACAAATACGTCACCGCATCTCAGTGCCACTCTAATAGGACGTTTTCCTGGCAGGAAGCATTCACTGAACCCACTTTGAACTACTGCAGGCAGCAGAAGTGGTGTTCAAGCAGAGACATTTGGAGCAGAACACAGCCAGCTCCTCTGAACAAGCCATTTGTCCCCACACAGCAGGGACTCCAGCCCAGAGCCCCAGCTGGTTGCTCTCCAGGCAGCAATATGGAGCCTGACAGCAATGAGCTTTGAATCAGACAATCCCTGGAAGGATGCTCAGCCTGTGGGAGGGAAAGCACAGAACTCTCTGATGGAGGAGGGCACAGTGCTATTGATCTGTGCCCAACTGACAGCAAAGCTTCCAGCCGCAGTAGATCCAAGGCTTTGATATTTAGGACACACTTTAAAGCCCAAAGCCCATTTCAGGTTTAAATCCTTGCCTCCCATTTCCAGCTTCTCGATGCTGGATTCCCCCACCTCCTGCCCCAGCACAGAGCTGCTGCAGCCTTCCTTCTTGCAAGAGCTGCAGATTCCCTCTGAGAAGCTATTAAGGAGCAGTCGAACAGAGCAACCTTTCATTGACAAGTCACTCGGCCCTTTAAATGATCTCCAAATAGTGTTTGCTTTTTATTGCTTTCTGCCGTTTAACAGGCTTGATTTCAAGTTACTCTGGCTTATGATAAACTCCAGATCTATGATGCTTCTATTCTCTCCCTCTTTGGTCTCACTCACTCGTTCCTTCTTTATGTTTTTATTAAAAAAAGATCCAGGAAAACAGATAGCAGATTAAAAGGCAAACAAATTGAAATGGGTCAAATGTATCTTGCTTAGATGACAGCCACCCCATTAGATACTTTTAAACAGGACAAATGCTCTGTTCAGCAGCACAAGTGGGCTTTTACATTTATTCTAAATTACCAACCAAATGATTGCAGCCTCAAATGGAAGCAGTGGCTAATTGCACTAATATCTCACTAATTCCAGCACCAAGGAATGGAGGAAAACTAACGATTTTCACCATTTTACCAATTACTCAATTGAGACCAAGGTACATTATGCAAACCCTGGGTTGAGCTTCCTCTCCATTTTGTGATCTATGACAAGGACTGGAATTCCAATTATTAATAATGGAGGAGCTATAATTATTCTAAGGATGGGTACGAGATAATTATAAGCCATAAAAACAGCTTTCATATGCATACATGACTCCCTCCCTGCGCCTGGGCAGAACCGAAACCTATCTGCAGACTGGAGATAGGGAAGTTGAGGACCAAAGACCCCCTCCAAGACACTGCTCCATGCAGCAGGAGGCAGCTGTACGGGGGGATAAGCTGTCACAGTGGAGGGGAATACATAGAGGGACCCCAGAGCCACCAGTTCCTCCAAAAAGGGACCTCCAGCAGTTGGTGGTTGCTGGGAGCAGGTGGTGAAGGCACAGAATGACACTGAGTGCTCCATCGTTCCCGTTAGTAGCTTTATGAATGACAGGCAAAAAGTGCCATAATTGCTGCAGCGACGCCTGCTAATGACTCATGTTAAATATGGTGAGAAGTCAAAGGAAGGAGGGATGAAGGAAAACAGCAGGAGAGGTGAAATCCTGCCCTTGGCAACCCCAGTGGAGAGTGCTGGATGGGCAGGGAGAGGGTGGTGGGCGGCAGGGAGGGGTCCTGCAGCACAGCCCCTACTTCTGAGCTCAGAGACTGCCAGCTTTGGGAAGCCAACTGAACGGGAGGGGAAGAGGGAACAGAAAACCAGTCCCAGTTCTCAGGCTGGCCAGAGTTGCTTGTTGTTGGGACTACAGCAGTGCAACCTTTCTGCTCACCTGCGTTCCACCTGGGAAATGCAGGGCAGCCCAGCACAGCAGGACCTCTGCCTTATGGCCATGAGCTTTGGGATCCCCAGGGTGCAGCCCTGCTGACCCACCACCATGGCTGGGGTGGAATCCAGCCCCATGTGCCTGCTCCTGCCAGTATCTGTTTCTGAATGCTAACAGTCAGCAGCAACTGATTGAGTGGGTTATTAGCAGAATGAAGACAGATGGTGGAGGATTAACTCTAAAGTATCTCTATTGCAAGGCCATCACTGCAGCTCACAGACAGCTCTACCTCTGTCTGCAACTGTCACCAGCTCCATTTTGACCCACAGCTCAGCAAACAGCACTCCTAGCATGCCAACAATGTACATGTCCATCACAGCAAAGGAACAGGCACGTGGCAGCCACAGCAGGGCATCCCCTTCCTCTGCGTGCCCCAAATCACATCCAAACCTTGCCTGCTTTCCTGTTGCACGCTTCACAGCACTATTAGACACATTCTCTAGACCAGATTTTCAGGATACATGTTGATACATGGTTGTATGAAGAGCTGATAGCTGAGTCCCATCCCTGGAGGTATTTCACAGACATGGTGCTTAGAGACGTGCGTTAGCAGTAGGCTTGGCTGTGCTAAGTTAACAGTTGGACTCCATGACCTCATGACCTGTCTTCTCCAGCCTAAACGATTCTATGCTACAAGTTAACTAACAGTAACACGAACAGAGGTGAGTTCTTGAACATTTGTTTTTGCTTCTTACCAGGGTCAGCTGCAGTAGGGCATGGTGCAGCTGACACGAGCTCAAAGTTCTCTTGTGCTTCTCTACCTCTGAAGCCCACTCTGTAGATGTCTCCATTAAGTGACAGGAAGGTAATGCTGCACTGTAATTACCCATTTCCACTACCATGAAGACCCCACACCTCATAATTATCCGATTGCCCCGCTGCCTACTTCTGCTTTCAACTCCTCCAGCTACGCTGCTATTACAAATAGGGCTGTTCATTACGATCACAATACAATAAAGGAGAAAAAGCTCTAATTTGACAAAGACACGAAGGGGAAGCTGTCCTACTCCTTACCCCTCCTAGAGAATGGCTCAGAAGTTGCTTGCAGGGGCTGCCCTGGGACAGCCGCACACCCGAAACCCCCTTGGCTCCCATCACTGCTCAGCCCACACCATACAGCCTGGATTGCAGGAGGCTTCATGTCTGCACCTGTCATCCAGAGCCATCTTGAGTGAAAACAAGTCCAGGGCGGTCTTTGTAGCCATGGAAATCCCCTGTGTTCTTTTTGGAAGATTGTACCTTTAAACGTCACAGCCCTGCAGTCTGCAGGGGCCAGAAACTCATTGCTTTGTTCCCTTCCCCACACAAAGGCTTCATTTTGTGCCTTTCATCTGGCTTTGTTCTCTCCCTAAAAGCCAAAGGGTTTGCTCTGCAATGTCCCTGCCAGGCTGGAGCAGTGCCACAGGGTGCATTGAGATGCCCTCAAGTGGTACCTACAAGCATCCCTGGGAAGCTTGAGGGACCCAAAACCATCAAGAGATCGCACCTTCCCATTGCACCCAAGGGGCAGTGCCATCCAGTTAAAAAAATATTCTAATCAATGTTTAAAAAGCACAGGATAATTAACAAACATGAGGTGAAAACTTGTGAAGTGCTTTCCCCATGTTATCATCTCAGTCTCAGGGCTCCTGGGGAACCAAGGGAACCTTTGATCTCATAGCTGGTATTCAAGCCATGAGCTTGTCTCCACTGGAGCTTCGCCCCCTGCAAGCTAATGCACCCTTTGCTCTCGTGCAGACAAGGCTTCCTGCAGCCAGCTGCTGGCTGCTCCCTGCCCTGCTCTGAGGAACAAACGCACAGCAGGGCATGTCAGCACTCCTCTGTCCGAGCCATTTCCTGTCTACCTCCAAAACAAGGGCTGAAAGCAGCTTGGCCCTGCTCAGGTTGAGCAAAACCCCAACGCATCACCACGATGCACCTTTCCCCAGAAGGGGCCTCCCCCAAACCCCACATTCAGCAGAGATGGGGCTGCTGCAAAGAAAGCAGCCAAGCGACAGTGCTGCCAGCAGCAGGGATGCCAATCCTTCCGAGCATAAATGGTTTTTGTTTAGTTATTATGCTTCATAATTATTTATGGTGTTTCTATGGATTAATCAATGCTCATAAAGCACCTGGGGGATGACCAGAATTTAAAACAGGCGAATTTTTTAGAGACATCTCTGCCTCAGTGCAGGGGTTTGACAAGGAAAACAGTGATGCTTTTGAGAGGGCACAGCAGCCCTGATCCCAGGTGAGAGATTTGCCCAAGCAAACTCCATCAGCTTTTGAACACAGCAAGGCTAAGCCCAACTCACAGTGGCTTTTCAGTGCCACTAATTAGAAGGGCATTCATTTGCCAAGGTTGCCCACACAAGCTCTAGGATGTCGCAGTTCAAGGGCATTAGGGTGATAACCTGAGCACCTCTCCAGTAGGGCCAGATGTATCCAGTTGAAGGGCAGAATGAAAACCAGAATACAGAGACTGGGTGCTGAAAGAGCTTCATGTGAGACAAATCCACAGGAGAAGACAGTGGGTGGGGGACGAATAGAGGTATCAGACTCCTGCTCTCCTTTTACTGCTCCTCTCCTATCTTTGCCCACTAAGATGCTTCAGAAAACAAAAGGGAACCAGGATTTTCTCCTTGGGACAAGCAAGAACCTGTTCCTAGCAACAATGAACCTCCGTGATGAGATCACTAAGGAGGAAGGATGAAGAGAAGGTGGGGAAGCCGCTCACCTTCAGTCATCCTGCGGTACTTCTCCTTGTACATGAACCCCAGCACTAGGCAGCATCCTCTTCCTGGGAGCCCCAGTTCTGCAAGAGAAGAGAGAGGGGCGTTAGAAGGCTGGGGACAGGAGTGAGTGCATGGGGAGCAGTGCAGCAACTGGGATGCGGTCCTCAAAAGGGAAGATTAGCCAAGGCTTGAGGGCTGGAAACACACAGGTGGCCCTACAAGCAGAGAAGTGATCCAGGCTTAGGATGCCTACACCTTTGATGCCTTGATTCCTTAATGGGGCTTTCTGGTAACCAAGAGAGAAAGAACTGAGTGTGGCTCTTCCAGAAGCAGGCTGTGTGTTTGCCCACGTGCATCTCAGCGGCGGACAGCTTCCATTCTTCAAACAAATTGTGTCACAGAGGGGGAAATCAAGGTAGTGTGTCCCCACTGCCGCCCCGGCGCACTCCTCGGGGGCTGCCGTGCTCTGCAGGGCCTCGCTGATCAAAGCCCCTTTGATGTTTGCTTAATGCAGCCTCCATAGAGCCCCGCTCCACCAGGATGGAGCGTGCAGGATCGGCACGGGAGGGGAAGGTGGTGGGGCAGCGGGATGGGAGTGGTGAGGCGGTGCTGCGCAGAGCTGTGCGGGGATTTCAGGTCCCTGGAGATGAACTGCAGGTCTGGGCTGTGTCTGTCAGAGCAGGAAAGTCGCCTAGTGCTGCAGGATGTGCAGGAAGACAACTTGATGCATACGGCTCTGTATGGAGGTGCGCTGCTCCTCCCCAGTGCTGATGGGACATCCAGGCGGGAGTGTCTGAATCCTCCTCAGCACCTGGGGCAGAACTAGAGCCGAAATGCAGAAAACAGAGATGCCTTGTGACACCAGGGCATGAGCTGGAGGACAAGGTAAGGAGAATTCCCTAACAGAACCAGGCTCCATCTCACAAGAACCAACAGCTCCTGATTCTAAGGCTCCCATCAGAGGCGATGTCAGCCTGCAGAAGAAAGAAAGGCTGTGTGCAATCCCACTGAAGTCAGCGCTCATGCAGATAGATGTCTCTTGAGATGATTAAAGTCAGCTGAAATTTAATTGCACCTTTAATCCACATTGCCACCCAAAGTAGTATCCAAGAGGGTATCCCCAGGCAGCCTCTCAAGGATGCTGGAGGTGCCCACAGCTCTCTCACTGGCCATAAAAGGGGAAGGGGGGGGATCAACTCAGATGAGGGTGCTCAAAGATCAGGCATTTTCAGGCAGGCAAAGCAAACATCCACATTCTCAGCAGCTTCTTGACTCAGTCATACCCATCAGCACCAGGCAGACAGCAGCCATCTCCTATCTGATGCAGGGGCAGAATCCAGCCCTCTGCACAGCTGCAAATACACCCAGAAAGACATCAACTTGCAGAGCATTAGAGTTCAATGCTCCCAACTGGTCCGGCTGAAAGGCATTCAGCAGAGGCTGTGCTGCAGACACCAGTAAGAGCTCTGGCTGGGGATCCCACAGAGCCAGCGACCCCACATGCATCAGCCGTGAGCTGCTGACAGCCTTCCCAGCCTCCCTCTGCTAACACAGAGCCAGCAACACGCTTATGTCTTAATTGATAGGAAAGACAAATAGCATCGATTCCAATCGAGCCTTCAATGAGCGCTGAGGTATCGAGGCATAATTAAAACAACACAATTAGATTAGTGTCACACAAGGCAGCACAGTTCACAGCAGAGCTGAGCCAGCCAGCATTGCTATCTTGCTAATTCAGGCGTTTATCATGGACATTGTGTGGGTTCTCCTGGTCACAGAGACCTGGAATGGCAGAGGCTGCCATAAAGTTCTGCAAGAGCCAATGCAGAAGGTATCAGAGCTGAGACAGAGGCTTAAGAGTAGAAAAAGGAGCAACACAGTGGAACGAGATGATCCTTAAAGTCCCTTCCAACCCAAACCATTCCATGAGGCTATAGTTTCGTTCTTGTATCAACCCAAAGCACCCAGAACTCAGCAGCCCAGCTCTCACCTTCCAATTGCACAGAGAGAAACATGCCCAAGAAGGAGTCTGTGCATTAGGGGAGATGGCAGGGGGTTACTGCCCAAGGTGACGGTGCTGCTACCCCAGGAACCCAAAGCACAGCTTCACCCTGCAGGAGGGAAGGAAGCTCCAAGTGAGATCTGAGCTGCTCCCCAAGCGGAGCTGGTTTGGGTGCCGATCGTCCGAGCGCCTCCCTGAGGGGTGCTATAATTAATGCTTATAAAAGACTTTGATATCCCATGATGAAAGGAGCACCGCGTTACAATAATTCATACCAGAAATTTGTGAGAATATGCAGAAATCTTTACAGCTAAAGGCACCTTTAAATATCTGACAGCGCCTTTAAGAGGTAAAACACTTTGAGATGATGCTGAAGCCTAAGGATGCCTCACCACTTCATGGCTTTTAGCAGCTACCTAGAACATTAATAGCGAAACAGATACCCCAGCATTTTAAATATCTTGGCTTAGGGGACCTGCAGGGATACCATGGAAAAATGAACATTCTAACCCATGCATGGCATCCATCTCCTGAAACAAATCCCATCCACTTCCATGCAGTGATAGTTAGTTTTTTTTTCCAGCACAGTAGAGTGAGTTACAGTTGAGCTTTATCAGCCTGGCTACTTTGGCAAGGCGTGAGCACAAATGTCTCACTTGGACAACACGTGGCAGAAGCACATTTGACTCACTCCCATTGATGCGTCCCAAAGCCTGCAGAAGAGCCACTTGGACAAAGGAAAAGCAATCCTAAAGCATCAGGGCAGCAAGGAACAACAAAGCAACTGCCAGCACAAGAAAGAAAGCAGTGAGCTTGGCTCAGCCTCTGAACAACTCCTATAACAGGACATTTCACACAGCTCGGACAACAGGGGAGGCCAACCTGGTTTTGAAGCACAGCTCCCTTCCCTGGCCCAAACTAAGGAACTCTCAATGCTTTTCTCCTTTCCCTCATCATTTGCCATTTCCTTTCTCTCTCAAAGCAATTCGCCCACCCACAAATCAGAGAGGGATCCAAGTTTCTGATAACAGAACGTTAAAGGCTAAACCTGCAAAGGAGTAACGAAGGTTTGTAAACACAGCCATAATGCGTGCTATTGTGTGGCTGTATCCCACCAGGAATGACAATAAATGTTTAATAGCCCAATAATACCTGTTTAATAATTTTTCAGTTCATCCTGTCTAATTGCAAGTTTATTAAAGAACGATAAACTTTATAATCACTGTAAAGGCATAATTGCAATTCCATTGCTTATTTAATATTGAGGTAATTATATTATAACTAAGTTATATTTTCCCATACATATTAAATATCAATTAGCTGTTTTAAACTATTGATTTGTATTTAATTAACTGTGCTATTATATACCAATTAAGCTCTTATAAGAGAAGCAGAAACAGCTGGTCTCTTAAATTAAATCTTAAAAATGTTGTATCAAAATAAATATCATGTTTTTCCATTTTCCCCAGTTTTCCTTCTGCAGAGGTGATGGTTTGCTATCAGTAAATATTTTTCCAATAGCATCTCAGAGCCACAACTTTCATTTTTAGAAATGCGTTGGTTAAGAAACCACGTCCCTGCTTGGAAGCCTCTTGTCTTGATGCTCAAAGTCAGTCATTTGCATTCCAGAAGTTGGAAGAAAGGTGTGAAGGAGCATTTTCTTTGCTTTCCAGAGCGCTGCCTTCCAGCACTGTGCTCTGCTAATGGTTCACATGCCCCAGATGTTCCCATGACCTCTCCATAGTGCTTTGCTCTGGGTACCATTGAGGCGCACTGCATCCTTCCCTGCCCAGCTCTCCTTCTGCTGTGAGGCTTGCATTCAAGCTTCCTCCCTTCACCCACAAACAAAGCCCAGCCATCCCAACCATCTCCTCATTTTTACAGAGGGCAAACAGATCCTCCAGCACACCATCAGTGTGTTCTACCATTAGGGCTGCAAAGCAATCCGTGATCCTCCGAGATGAACAAGCTATATGAATGCAAGTTGTTATTAAATCTGTGCCTGGTTAATTTATAAAAATGTATTAAAAAAAAAACCAAAGAGGCTTCCCAGATGAGAAAATGGGCACATTACTGCTTGAAATATGAATGAGGTAAAGATCAGCGTTAAATGCTGTAGCGATATTGTATTTTATTCCACAGCGCTCTGCAGAAAAGTTGCATTTATAAACCCATTTATTGTGTTATGTACTTGCAAACCACCTTGTCATCCATTTATTGCACAAATAAAATCTTAAAAGCGGAGGATTAGTTGAGTGTGTCCCTGTGGGACCACAATCTGACTTCAGAAGAATCCATCAATGAAGGAAAACAGATGGAGCAGAGGTGTTTGCCAGCTCATTGCTCCGAGATGCGAGATGCAACTGTGCAGGAGGGCCGTTCTGCAGTGGGTTGGAGTCGTCCTGAAGGCCACCAGCACCACCAAGGTTTGAGGAGCCTCGTGATAAGGAGGGCTCCCCAAACACCAGCTCTACTCCCATAGCAGGACACTGAAAGCTGCTTCCCAGCAGGGAGAAGCAAAGAGCTCTGAAGAAGCTGCTACAGCAAAAAGCAATTTACCCCAGAGTGAGAGAGCGCTCAGTACCTGAAGTTCCTTGCATAAACAGGAGCACATTTGCACCAGTCAAACCCTCTTCAATGCCTCACTTTGACAAGGTCTTGTGGCAGCAATTCCACACTGTAACTAAAGCTGGCACGCAGGAAAAACACTGAATTTCCCCTTGTCAAAGCCGTAACATTCATAGGCGTTTGTATTATTCAAAAGAAACAAATGAAAGGTTACACAGAAACAGTGTTCTCTTTAGCAGTAACAATATCAGAGGGACTCAGGTTCGTACCAAGGCAGCCAGGCTGCCCCGTCCCCCCTCGAAGCACCACTCTGCCCCATGGAGGTGGGGGCTGCCCTGGGCACACAGCGAGGAGCTGCCACCAGCTGTGCTCCCAGTGCCTCCTTCTGGTGGCTCCAGCAAGGGAAGATGTGCAGGTTGGCATCCATCCCACAGTGTTCCTTATAACCTCATGGCATGCAGGCAGAGTTCATAGAATCGGACCAACTCCTCCCCTTGCATCCCCTGCTTT